CCACAGCAGTCCTGGTTCTCTGACTAGAGAATATCAGCTGCCAGAGCTATCAATCCAGGATACGTTTTACAAGCATGAAATTGAGCAGAAAAATCTTAACGGAAAATCATTAGGGGGTGACCGATTATGGCCATTATCTTTCTGTCTTAAGTAGTTATAGCTGAGTTCTGCCTAATTGAAGAATAGGGCTTGGGAATAAAAATGCAAGGTGACTATTAACAATATTGAATTAAGCAACAATGGTCATCATAGTTATGACCCTTAGAGCATCATGAGGTAAGTGGTAACGCATGCACTTTGTGATTACACCAGATAGCCACGTCGTAGAAGTAAATGCTGGCCATGAGACTTTCATGTTCACACCTTGTCACCCTCCAGTACATACTGTCTTTTGGAAAATCTGTTACTATTTTTACTCTGGTCCAGATCCTGATCCCTCTATTCACATTGAGTAACACTTTCTGCCATGTTTAGGCCCATGGCCATCAGTGAGAGAGGCTATCGGAATCTGCTCCTGACAGTTTGATGATATTATTTGACAGAGTATCTGCCCCCGTTACGGATACTGTACTCGCAGTAGAGAGAGAGATGGAACCTTCACCAGCCACTGATTTTTCACAGTGTATGAGTGCATTTTTCTAAACAAATGAATAAACAATAAAGAAACAATGGGTATTTAAAATTCATGTATTGTGAACACATCTGCATCTCTGCCATGACTCAGGGTATTCAGAGAGGCAGTGTTGCCTACTGGATAGAGCACTGGACTGCAGATCTAGACTGGTATCTGTTGCCAGCTCTGCCACTGGCCTTCTGGGTGACTTGAGATAAAGCCATGACATCTCTGTGCATCCGTTTCCCTATCTATAAAATGGTGATGATAATGATGACCTCCTTTGCAAAGTTCTGAGCTTTACTGATGAAAAGTGATATATACGAAGTAGGTACTAGACATTATTGCACTTTAAAAGTCCACTTTATTTGTTGTAAAGTATGCTCTTTGTTTAGGTTTTGCATTCCTCTTTACAAGGACTTTGAAAACTAATGAAGTCAGTTTTACTCTGGTTAGTCAGTTTTGTTCTCAGGTTCTTAGTGCTTTGTTTGGGCTTCAAATACTGCAGGGGGACATCAACTTGTTTAAAAAAAAGGTGTGTGTTAATTCAATTTTTTTAAGTTGCATTTTTTTATTGATCTCAAGTTATATACAAATTTTATTTTTTACAAAATTGGAATTGTGTGTTCCTCTACAAGGAAAAAAGTCTCAATTCTGTCTTTTATGTGGCATATTTTTTTTTAAAAGAGCAAAAAAACCCCTTTTAGGATAACTTCAAATTTGAGATGCACCTCTTCCATTTTCTAAAGGCAACGTTTAAAAATGTTCAGCAGCTGCTTAAGTTTTTTCCCCCTCAGTGTATTTGTACCAACAAAATCAGAGTTTAGCAAGGAGACAAATCATGACTGTCCACTTGTCTGTCTAATGCAACCATAACCCCAGCAGCTAAACTACTCTGTCTAATGGGGTACTGAACTGATGTTGGATCAGGTCAATTTATATCAAGCATTACCCTGAAGAAGTTGCTTGACCATAGAAGTTGAGTGCCTGAACCAAGCATGCAGAATGGAAACCTAAGCTAGCCTAGGTAAGTCTGTCCTGGGCTTATGTTGGAGAAAGAAGTTGAGTGCAATTAGACCTCTTCAAAAATTACTCTTACCTGGAGAATGGAAAGGATTTTCTGTCTCTCTCTCTGTACCCCCCCCATAAAATTTACCCCCCATACACAGAATCTATGCACCATTGAAGCCTTCAGAATAGAACTTCAGTGACACTAAATAGTGCAAAGGCTTTTTCCTGGCCCTCTGTACAGGGATGAATTTAATCCTGTCTGAGCATTTCCTGTTTCATTCATGCCATCTAACCAGCTCTTCAAGCCAGGCATTGCAGCCATGAGCCTACTGCCTAAAAGAGGACTTAACATAACACCTGCTGAAGTCTATCAATGCTCCCAAACCAGCCAGAGGAGTCACTGCAAAATGATGCATGGTACTTCCTTTATCCCAAAGCCTGAGCCTCTGTATCACTGCCAACCTGTGAACTGTGATACCCGCTGTTGGAATCCAGCACCTTTTGCCAGCACAAAACTCCCAGATGTTGTCAACCTGGTAAGGTTCTATTCTTATGTACTGATCTCTTCCAGTTTAGTCTAGCCACAGGGAATGAAGTCTACAAAGAAATCTATGAATAAATCTGATATTTTCAAGAAGTTTCTCCTATGTTTCTTTAAAAAGTGACATGTTTCGGGTATAATTGTGCGAGCAAGGCCTTATCTTACTAGGCCTTCAGATTCACTCCTCAGTGCTACTATAAAGCAGACTGTATTGGAAGCTTGTTTAGCACCATATGTTGCAAATTAGTCATGCAAATTTCAGCAGCAATAGCAAAAATAGGTGATCCCATAATATAGTATAGACATGTAGTGATGACAGGGGCGACTCTTTCCCTGGCAGTCTCAGCATATGGGAAGTGCAAGTTGCCTCCCCTTTGTCCCTAAACTGCCCCAAGCCCTGGTACAGGGATTAATTCCCTGCAATGTCCTGCCCTGACCCCCTCCAATTATATCCATAGGATAGTTAGCTGTACTGTTCTGATTCCAAGTAACACAGTGGAGCATTGCAAGAGGAGTCTTTGGGTTAACTAGGCTCTATAGCATTATGGGTTTGTTGAGATCAACAAGCACACTGAATTTTACCCAAAAATGAAGTGCAAGGCAGTGGAGAGTGTGTGCGTGCACACGCTCTCTAGCGGTAATAAGCTGTCACCAGTTTTCCCTACTTACAAGGTGGGCAGCCACAGTCAGCACTAACTGAAGCTTCTAAATGGCCTTTAAGGATCACCTCAGCTCAAGTGCCTTGCAAAAGTCTCCACCACACAGTGGGCTTTTATACAGCAAGTGATCCGAAAGTACTCCCTTTGAATTTCTCTTTTAGAATAACTGTATTGATCATCCTGTCCCTCTTTTCTTATGGATGTGTTTTTGTGGGGTAGGGATTTTGTTTGTTTGGGGCGTTGTTGTTTTGTCACATTGCCTTGGTGTGGCCCTGGATTCTGGACACTGAAAACTAGGTGCTTGTTGGGTATATTCCTCTGGGATTTCGTCAAAGCCCCAGCTTCAACCTTTACATTCTTAAATTAATATTGTCACTATTATCCCAGGTGTTTAAACAGTCCCATGTTGTGACTTTTTCTTACACTGTGGCTGGCCAACAAAAGGGTGAGGCAGGGAACAAAGAGGGTGGGGTATTTCATTTGTTAATAGGTTCTGTAATGGAGCCAGGTGTTTGATTTGGTAGTGTACTAAAAACAGACTGCATGGGGAAAAAATTGGAAGAGATTAATGCATAAACAAACACACTGAGAGGATTAGGGCAGCATCTGATTCTCTTGGCCACTTGACCTATCTCTCATGAAGGCATTTTTAATGACTCTAGGAATAGATGAGACAAGGTTAAGGCAGGCAAGTGTCATAAGCGGCATCACCAATTAATTTTGTAGATGTAGCTAAAGAGGAGTTTCTAGGAGTGTGTTTGATCCCTTTTTCCAAGGGTGCAATATATTATTTTAAGTGCTGTTTTTATTTCTGCTAGTGCAGGGACAACACGATACTCTGCCACATGGGGATCTGAATTCAGGGCCCAACCCTTAGTTTCTGGACTAGCACTGGGAATACTATACTGTACAGGGAGATGGGCATGTCAGAAGAACCTCCTGGATCTCTCTGTGGCTAGTGCTGTGAGCAGCATTGGTTTATGTTGGAAGAACATCCAACAATTTTTGGTCAGAAGGAAAGGCAAAAATGGGGTTCCCACAGGGCAGGGCATCTCCCCAGCTTAGTATGTACTCAATGCCAAGCCTGGTCTCCTTTAAGAAGGTTTATTGTGCAAAGAAAAACAAATAAAATTTGCTTACCTTTTGTCCTAGTGTTTCATAGGGCTACCTTCCTCTCTTGCTCTAGGGACCCACCACAGGCACTAGCTCTACTCAACTGTGGCTCTGTTCCCCTAGGCACAGCCTATCCCAATACTCCGTGACCTCTGACAGCTCTTTATAACCCCAGGTGTAGCCTTGCCCCCTTTAATTGGTTCAAGTGGGCCCACCTGTTCTGACACGGGGCACTGGCCCTGGTCTACTGTCAGGGATTGGCTGGTCAGAGGTGCTTTGTCTCCCAGGAGGGAAAAAAATACACATAACCACATGCCCAAAATGGGGGATAGGGATTTAGTTTCCCTGAATCTTGAGCTCCACCCTGATTGCCTGTCCACTTGCCTCTAAGGTCAGCTGTGAGTATCCTATTGTCATTGTCCAAGTGCTTTTGCAACGTAGTGTTTTGGACCATTCCTGTTGAATAATATAGTATTTGTTTAAAAAAAAAAGGGGAGACAGGCAATGAAGAGCAGATTATGAGGGGGGCATCCTGGAGGTACTCAAAGGTACCTGGCAGATACAGTTGTTGAAGGATCAACATTGTGAAGAAACCAGATAGATTTATTACTATTTGTATAGTGTCTAAGAGTGTGCTAGACACTTCACAATACAAATAGACATGGTCCCTGTCTGAAGAATATGCAAGCTAAAGTTCCAATCCTGTGCACACTTACACATGATGTGTACATTTATGCACATGAGCATTTTCCTATGTCAGTGTTTACAACTTTTAGATGAAAAATACTGGGTGAGAGGTGAAGAAGGGTGAGGAGAACAGTAGTAAGCTTTTGCAGTTGTCCAGGAGGCACGGGCGGCTCTATATTTTATTTTAACATGGAAGAATATATTAGTATTTTAAATCCATTTGTTGGGGGCTGGGAGGTCGAGGCTGCTCTTTTGGTTTGGGGTTTCTTCAGTGGCTTATGGAAAAAATGTTACTGAACTATGTGGAGTGATGGCTGATGTCTCTGGAATTGTCTGTTCTTTGTCACATATTTAATATGCAGCCACGTAAGCTGTATTTACTTACTGTGTCCATTCACTAATATTCCCTCCAACTATTGCCCTTAGTCGTGAAAGTGCCTATTAACTGCTTCCTCCTACAGGTCTGTTCAGATTTCCTTTCCTTTCCTTTCCCCCCTACCTTGGTAAAATTTCATTGGATCCCTCATTAGTGCTTGTGCATTAATACCTCCTTCTCCAGCACTCCCACCCCTGTGTCCTACGGTCACCACCTGGACAATTTCCCACTGGTATTAAATTTTTACAGCTTAAACTCAGCTTAATCGAAGCAGAAATCAGATTTGATTGTAATGTCTTATAAAAAAAAAGATAAGAGTCAAGATCCTGTGATGAAATAAAGGTGAAAGCCTGGACCTGTCTCTAGGAAGTTTAATGTAGCCCAAAAGGTAAAGAAAAATCAGCCCTTTTCTGGAGAGCCTTTTCACGAGAACATATTTAATTCATTGCTGATCTATGCCTCCTCTGCCCTCACAACTCCAACACCTTCTAAGGGAGGAAGGCTGTTTTTACGTATTGGTTTTTCATTTAAAATATGACACGGGTGCCACTTCTCCCGCAGCCTTGTCTCTCTCCCCCTGTAACGAGTGTGATTGATACAGGAGAGACCATTCCAGCAGGAAATGTGCCCAAAGCAGCTGTCAGAAATCTCCTGGACGAGTTGGGGCTGTGTGTGTGCGTGCGCAGGGGGAGCAGAGCTAGTTAACTAGCTGCTGTAGCCGTGACCCTCCCCTCTTCCTTCCCCTGTCTAAACACTCCAGCAGGAACCCCCCTTCCCCACCTGTTTTCTCCCCCACCCTCCATCGTCCTATAATCTTCAGAGGGGACCCTAACTCCTAAATATCTCCCCTTCCCTTTCCAAACGCTCCAGGGCTCCCCCTCCCATTTACACCCCTCTTCCCTCACTGGCTCCTGAAAAAATACCCAGCCCCCGCCTGCTCCCGGGGCTCTGGCCCGGCTGGCGGCGATGCTACTGCTCCAGTCCTAGGAGGGAGTGTCAGGAGCAGCAGCAGGAGGAGGCGGGCGCTGATTGGCCCGGGAGGAGGGGGAGGCAAAGAGTTTCCCACAATGCCCCGCTGCAGTGCAGCCGCCGATGGATGCTGCGGGAAGGTGCTGCCATTTGCAGCCTCCTCGGCGAGTGGCTCCAGCTGCAGCAGCCGTCCCGTCCCCGTCCCTGTCCCTGTCCCTGTCCCCGCACCTCAGCGGCTGCAGCCGCCGCCGGCCCCGCGTCTGCTCCCTGCTACTCAGGGCCCGGGGGGCTGCTGTCCTTCCCGCCCCGCAATGAACCCCCCGTCGGCAGCCGGTGAGGACAAGGGGGCTGCAGGCAGCGGCAGCTGCTGCCGAGGAGCCGAGGGCGGCGGGGACACGAGGAGCTCGGCGGCCGCCGCCGAGGAGGAGATGGGAGTCGCCGGCCAGAAGGAAGAGTCCCTGGAAGAAAAGCTGAGGAACTTAACCTTCAGGAAGCAGGTGTCCTACAGGTGGGTGAGGGCGGGGGAGAGGGGCTCCCGAGCCCAGACACGCGCCCCTGGCACCAGCCTCGGGAGTCCGGGGGTTTGGATGGGGGGACTCCTGGAGCCGCAGGAAAAGGGCTCCAGCCTTGGAAGTTTCCCTGGTGGCTGCTGCAAGCTCCCCCTTCAGCGCTGCATTTTTGCTGCCCTGGAAATAGCTGAGAGGAGGCACCAAGTTGGTAGCTTGAACCACTCCAGCAGGTAGGAATGGGGAAGTGGGGGAGCTCAGGCTGAGATGCGGGGATCCCCAGTAGCCCACTGAGCTGGCTCTGGTGGTCTCCAGGAGCAGACAGACAGCTTTGAGGAAGGTGGTGGTGGGCTTTGGGAGGGAGAGAGATTCCACAAGAAAGACACTTACTCAGTGGGCTCAAATATAGAGAAAGTGTTATAGGAAATAATCTTTTGGCCAAGTTAATGTCAAAAAATTATATATAAATGGTGTGTGTGTGTGTAGTGTGTGTATGTATGCATATCCATGTTTTATATATATGCGTTTATATGTTTGTGTAGGTATATTAGTATGCTTGTCCATGAAACATGCGATATTGTGGCAGTTGGTATTGATGTAGTCTTTGCATGGAGTGCCCTGACAGCAGGCTGTGGGAGTTACGCTGTCAGAATGATGTTGCAGAGTCAAGGATTAGGGTGAGGGCAGCACCATAATTGTCTGTGTTGCTTTTATTTTCCCCAGTCAATCTGGATTACACTAAAAAAGAAACCATGATCTTGTTTACGATAACCCTCCAAATAGGTAGAGAGCATTAGGGTGTGTGTGTGTGTGCAGACTTCAGGATTAGCCAAAGAGGGTCAGAAATACTGCCTGACTGTCAGGGGAGTGGAGTGATTCTTGAGTTTTGCTGTTTAGAATAAAATTAAGGCTGCTTATCATTTCTTGGGCCTCAAAACATTTATTAGAAAGGGGTCACAAAAACATTTTCCTGTGGCATTGCTACTTCTGATCAGGATTTCTCTATGGAAAGTGTCATGAAGAGCAAGTCTTCTTTCTCTCCCCCTCAACTCCCCAGTGAGTCATTATGTAAGCATTAGCAGATGACAAGGTGTGTGGGTGGTTATACCGAATACCCACACAGCTTGGCTGATTTGTGAGGCAGAAGACCAAAGGCTAAGCATGTCCAAACACCTGGAAAGTGTGGGCATTTGGTATAACTGAAGTGTGGTGTTGCTTTTATGACTTTTTTTTTCATTTTGTCACAATGCATTTACACCATATACTCAAACAACTAGATTCCTCTTTCAAAAATGCATTTCTGTGACTTCATAACTAGGGCATGCTAATGGAGTCCTTCCTTATTTAGGTTACCGGTTACCATCTGCTCCCAAGTCAGTAACTATTGAAAATTGTTACTGTTTAAGAGGTGTTTGGCTCATGTCAGAGAAGTTGGTGGCCTCAGTCTAGTTCTAGATGATTTACAACCACATGTTCCCCCAAAAACCCATCACATATGACCCCACACCTGTGTCATGGGTGAGCCACATTAACTTGAGGGTGGAAGAAGATCATATAGCTGCTACTATTCTGCCTTTAGAATAAAATAAGACTTCTGTGGCCAGGGCTGTCAGCTCAGCAACTTTCACTAGCACTGAGTAAAAATACTTTTGGGCTGTCCCCTTATATTCTAGTCAGGTTAATAATGCTGCGCTCTCTCTCTCTCTCTCTGAGTGATGGTTTAAAATGATGTAATTACATACTTGTGGGGAGATGTTGCCCCTCCATAGTTAAAGCTGAATTTAGATAATACCTCATGTGTGGGTAGAGAATATTTCTTCTGACTTTGAATAAGGGGTGACTATTTAGCTGATGAGAATAAAGCTGTGAGTGATTCATACTGGGCTGTCCTTAGTGAGTGACACTGGCCTCCTCTTGAACTATTTGTGTATATAGCATCTTTCAATATTTTTATAACTTTATTACAGTAGGTTTTTTAAAATTGTACATTTCGTGGCAGCAGCTTGTGCCAGTTGCAGCTGAAGACCGGGAACTCCAAAGGTGGGTTAATAAGCTAGGGAGGGTCAGTTCTAAATGTTGACATCTGCCACCAACTTGCTTTTGGTGCAAGAGGAATGTGGTTTGCAGTAGATTTGGGAAGTGTTTCTATTCAAGCTGTATACGTTCACTTCATTTGATTAGTTTGGGTATCTTATACTTACAAATCTATTTGTAACATGTTCTCTTTCCCTGGTATTGTGAAGTATGAGGAGCCTTTTCACTGGGTCCCCCACATTTCTGTACTGTGCATATGTAAGGGTTTCATAATAAATGTACATTGGGAGGAATAGTGGGATTTCTTCCCCCTTCCTTTCCCCACATATGTGTGAGCATGCAGCAAGTCCTGAACCTTTAGAAATGGGAGGTTTTCTCAGTAGCTTTTAAATAACCATTTCTGGAGGCATATTATTCATTCTGCTTGATTTAGACTGAGAAAGGGAAAATAAATTCTCTATGCATCCCGGGATTTCCACACACTTTTTTTTTTGGAACTGATTTCCTACACGGAATGTTCCTTTCTTTCATTTACCCATAGAGCAAACACCAGAATCAAAGACTTGTACAAAGCACTGCTGGTGAGTTTGTTTTTTCCCCCTCTTAAAATTACTACCTTTTTTTCTCTGCAAATTATGGTGCTGCAATGGATTTATAAATGCAAATGACTATATAATACGCAGGAAACTCTATTTATATTGGCACTTGGACTCCTTCACACAATAGTACAATAGAAATTATTCAAAGCACCACACTGGCTTTCAAATGGTTCATTTAGGGTTGTCTTTGTGTGTGTTGTATTATATTGACACACAAGCATACATCTGTATTTATATGTACATAAAAGAATATAGCAGGAACATGCTTAAAATAGCCCAGACCCATGCAAATAAATGTAAAAACTGCATTAGTGACAAGTGGCCAAGTGGAACATGAGTGTCAAGGAAGGGGGTGAGATGTTTTTCCCATAAAGGGTGGGTGGGGAGTGGGGGGAGGGGGAAGAGAGAAAAAGGGGGGGAAAAAGAAAGAAAGGAATTTTTTTAATGTGCTGTGTTTGTATGCCTCTTTCCTGTCATACACAACAACCTGTGCTGTACATGAATTTTGGTTACTTTTTCTTAGTTCCATTCCTTTCGTCCTCCCATTTAGTTGCTAAGCAACAGCTGTTTCCTTGTAAGAAGATCTAGTTAGGGTAATTATGTAGTTACTGTGAAAATATAACTTGTTAATTTCACAGGGGCTATGCCATAACTATAATAAACAACCTAGTTTAGATGTAAATGTTTGCATTCATGTGACCAGTGTATCTGAGTACAGGGATTGATTTATTAAATTGGTAATGAAGTTGTGTAATATATGCATACATGGGCATATTTGTCCCTTTATATAGTGAAATCTAATCAGTATTTGGGATTTAGAGAAGACCACATAACAAATTGCTTTGTGTCTTTAGGCATGTTGCACATAGTGCTCCAAAATCAATTAAGTGTATTGTGTTGCCAACTCTCATCTACCATATTCAGTCTATACCAAGAGAATGTTTGCAGAGCTACTAGAGGAAAAAACATTTTGTTTACTCCGAAAGCTGCTCATACTATTAGGATAGATGATTGCTTGCTATTTTCCTCCCAAATATGTATTTATATACACAGTGGGAATGTGGAACTTATCTGTGCTTGTGCATAAGATAGTGTGTATGTTGAGTATGTATATGTGCATATGTACAGTCAGTTTAAGTAGATCTTCATTTGCAGATGGGATACTTGCCCTTCTAACTTTGATTAGTCATTTTCAGGCTTGGGGTAGTCTCAATACATAAAAAGAAGAGGAGTACTTGTGGCACCTTAGAGACTAACAAATTTATTAGAGCATAAGCTTTCGTGGACTACAGCCCACTTCTTCGGATGCATGCTTCTTCGGATGCATATAGAATGGTTTCATTCTATATGCATCCGAAGAAGTGGGCTGTAGTCCACGAAAGCTTATGCTCTAATAAATTTGTTAGTCTCTAAGGTGCCACAAGTACTCCTGTTCTTTTTGCGGATACAGACTAACACGGCTGCTACTCTGAAACCTCTCAATACATAGTTATGTGAAGCAAGCTCTGGGCTTTGCTGCTAGACCTTAACTATCAAGTAACATGTATCTTACGGTCTCTCTAGCAACATTGTAAAAAAGCATTGTGGGTGTGTGGCATTTTCTCTAAATCAAGAATATGTGGCCAGCCCCAGTGGCTGTTTGATCTACATGAAAGTTGAGGAAATGGTCTGCCTTGTGAGCCCAGTTCAGGCATCTAAATTGGGAAGTTCTCTTCCATATCTGGGACTTTACATTGGAATACAAGCACCCAAGCAGCCATTTTAATGCTGATTTTTACTGCCCAAATATTGTGGTAAGCATCTTAAGCAATTAAATATGAATATTGGGCTTACAAATTGAAGTTTATCATTGTTTACAGATATTGATTTAATGAAATATTCACCTCCATCCTCCACAGAAATTGGCAAAAACAGATGCCCCTCCCACAAAGCAAAAGCTCTGCTAACTCTGGTCCTTCTAGGAGCACTACCCCTAAAATCACAAGACCTAGCTGGACATTTAATTAGCTGTGTTGAGTTTTTTGGATGTTACCACATAAAGGTGCTGGGAAAGCTTCCTCCCATCCACCCATAATTTTTACCAGAATTTTGCCTCTGCAAACTCCATATATTTCACTTAAAAGGGACACTATCAACTTAACTTTAGTCCAAACTTTATTTTTTTTGTTAAAAGCAGCTTTTGTCAAACTGACGATCAGTAGAAATGCTTCCACTAAAGAAAACAGCCAATGAAAGGTTTAAGATAGACATCATCCTGACACATTTGAAACCCCAAACCATAGCAGGTTTATAAACCTTAAAATTAAACTGAGTATAAACAAAAGGGAAACTGCACTCTCTTGGTTATCATTATTTAAGTGGAGAGAAAT